AGATTGTTGTCACGGACGAAGGCAAGTTTGACCCTGCCAGCATCCCTAAGAAGAGGTGGGAGGAGTACCAAGCAGAGATGTGGGAGCAGCACACCATCCGTGACGACCGCTCGGAGGTTTCAGGTTACACCTACGCTACCAGGAAGCCGTTTGGAAGCGCATCCGTCGCTGGCTCAGAGTATGGAGGCATGCCACCATCCCGCCCCATGTCGCACCTCAACCTCCCACGCTACGACAATCACTCACGAATGAGTCTTGCCCAGAGTGGCTACGGCATGGATAGCATGGAGATGGCGAACCTGCCAAGTGACGATGCTATCTTGATCGAGATCAAGGATATCTTGTCCAAGTCTGATCTCATGAACGTCACCAAGAAGCAGATCAAGGCCGAACTAGAGCAGAGGTATGTTCATTCACATATAATCACACGATCAACACTAACACGACGGCAGATTTGGATGCGATCTCACGCTCAAGAAGCAGTTCATTGGCTCTGCTGTCGAGTCCTTGCTCATCAGCGGCCAGCTATACTAAGCCTTAAGGGCTGCAGTTAGTTTCTATTTGATCGATGCTTCACGATTCTACGCGTTGCCATAAAGATACCGTTTCATCATCAGTCACGTACATGGCCATGCTTCTGCATGTGGCTTTCATCGCTACTATTGTAATATCGTCGTTGCATTCTCTCATTGGGTCGGAGTTAAGAGGTTCTGGCACGGCGTTAAACGTACTGGAATTTGTCGGAGCAGCACACTTTGTATCTGTCGTCCTGTAGTGTGCTTCGCAATGGAAGGGAAAATTTGGGTGTAGACCTGGGACGTAGGATGCAAGAATAGCTATGAAGAATTGCATAGTGACAGATGTCCATCATAACTTGCTCTGCATGCTTGATTCCTTGTTAGTGGACAGAGGTTGCTAATAAACGGCATAGACAAGGAAGCCATGGGCGCCATGTGTGGTCCGAGCGCCTCATACCCCTCCATAGCTAGCCGTTCGCCGCCCGCCGCCACACAGAACAATCGATAACTCCAACGGAATTTCGCAGAAGCCAGTGTGCGTTCGCATTTTCCTGTCACTCTTTCACGGTCCAGGCCTTTATTGGTTGATTCGGGACCTGTCTTCTTCGGCTCCAGTTTTCCCTCTTGCCACTTCCACCGTGAAGCGCGAGACCGCCTGCTGAACCACTTGCGATTTCTACAGTTGACTCCAAGTGCGACCCATCGAGTGCGAACCGTCGACCCGGCCACGCCCTAGCACAACACGCCTCTAGTGACATCTGCACATACGAGTCCACATACCACATCCGTAGGAATACACCATATACAAAATGCCGCCAAAAAAGAAGGGCAACAAGAAGGCGCAGAACGACGACTGGGAAGCCGAGCTCGGCGAGTCTGTCGCGCCTCAGGATGGCGCTGCATCAGAACCCCAGCCTGAGGATGCTGCCGCCGCCGATGAAGATGTTGCAGGCGGTGGTCTGATGGCTGCTCTTGCAAAGCGCGGCAAGAAGAAGAACAAGAAGGGCGCAAATCTTGAAGTCGAAGGCGAGGACCCACCTGTTGATGATGCAAACGGCGACTTTGACAGCAAAGCACCACAGGAAGGAACCTTCGACGACGATGACGACGATGTATTTGCTGGAAACTACGGCAAGAAGAAGGGTAAGGGTGGCGCTGCTGCCAAGACAGAGGAACCCGTCGAGGAGAAGACCACCGATGATGCTCCGCGTGTAAAGACCAAGGCGGAGAAGGAGAAGGAGAAGAAGGAGAAGGAAAAGCAGCGAAAGAAGGAATTGGTACGGATCCGTCAACTACATTGTCCATTGGATGAGTGTGTACTGACCAGTATTAGGCTGCGAAGAAGAAGGCCACTGGTCCTGCCAAAGCCGAACCTGCGAAGCCTACCGAGACCAAGCCAGCTGCCTCTGCCGCACCTTCGGCCCCTACACCAGCTCCAGATGCCGCGCCCGCTGCTGGAGGCAAGAAGAAGAAGCTCAATCCTGCGCTGGCTGCCCTACAGAAGCAACAGGAAGAGCGCAAGAAGAGAGAAGAGGAGATGGCGCGTGCTGAGGCCGAAGAGAAAGCCAGGCTAGAGGAGCTGGAGCGACAAGAGGCTGAAGAACAGAAGCGCAAGGAGGAAGCGAAGGCACTCAAGAAGCAGAGGGAGAAGGAAAAGATTGAGCAACTGAAGAAGGAGGGCAAGTACATGACCAAGGCTCAAAAGGAAGCAAAGGCAAAGAACGAACTCCGCCTACAGCAGCTCCTAGAATCAGGTGGCACAAAGGTTGCCGGACTTGCCGACGAAGCCGAGAAGAAGAAGAAGCCAGTCTACGATGACCGCAAGAAAAAGAAGAAGAAGCAGGCCGAGAGTCAACAAGAAAAGGAGGCTCGAGAGGCAGATGAGGCCGCCAAGAAGATGGAAGAACTCAAGCTGGCCGAAGAGCAAGCCGCCGCTGCAGCTGAGGCTGCAGAGAAAGCCCGGCTCGATGCTGAAGCCAAGAAGGGAGAGGACGGTGACTCCGCCGACGACTGGGAGGCTCAAGCCGACGAGTTGGACGGTGTTAAAGACAGTTGGGACGTCGATACCGATGAAGAAGAAGAGCGCAAGGCAAGTGAGAAGAAGGCCAAGGAAGAGAAGGCGGCAGCGGAGAAGGCTGTTGCAGACAAGGCCGACAAGTCCAAGGACGCCAGCTCAGATTCCGATTCTGAAGATGACAGCGAGGACGACTCGTCGGAAGACGAAGAGGGAACCGCCACGCAGCGAGCCGAAGCCGCTCGTAAGGCTGCCGCCGCCGACCGACGAAAGCAGGCTCACGAGGAGGCTCTTGCTGCGCGATCAAAGGACAACTTGCGATCTCCCATTTGCTGTATTCTTGGCCATGTCGATACCGGTAAAACAAAGCTGCTCGACAAGATCCGCCAGACCAACGTACAAGAAGGCGAAGCTGGAGGTATCACGCAACAGATTGGTGCCACCTACTTCCCTGTTGAGGCACTTCAGAAGAAGGTTGCCGTCGTTAACAAGGACAACGACTTTGTTTTCAACGTCCCTGGTCTCCTAGTTATTGACACACCCGGTCACGAGTCTTTTACCAACCTCCGATCTCGTGGTTCTTCGCTCTGTAACATTGCTATCCTCGTTATCGACATCATGCACGGTCTTGAACCTCAAACCATCGAGTCCATGAAGCTTCTTAGGGACAGACGGACACCTTTCATCGTTGCTCTCAACAAGATCGATCGTCTGTTCGGCTGGAAGAAGATTGACAACAACGGCTTCGAAGATAGTCTGAGCCTTCAAAAGGCCTCCGTTCAGTCTGAGTTTGAAGAGCGATGGACCTTTGTTCGCACTCAACTGCAAGAACAAGGTTTCAACTCTGAGATCTTCAACAGAAACAAGAACATGTCCAAGTACGTCTCCGTATGCCCAACATCAGCGCATACGGGAGAAGGTATCCCTGATATGATCAAGCTTATTGTCAAGCTTACGCAAGAGCGCCTTACGAACAACCTCATGTATCTTTCAGAGGTTGAGTGTACTGTGCTTGAAGTCAAGGTCATCGAAGGTCTTGGTACCACTATAGATGTTATCTTGTCCAACGGTGTTCTTCACGAAGGCGACCGCATAGTGCTGTGTGGTAATCCAGAACCTATAGTAACCAACATTCGAGCGCTATTGACGCCGGCTGAGATGAAGGAGCTACGTGTCAAGTCACAATACGTGCACAACAAGGAGGTCAAGGCTGCCATGGGTATCAAAATCGCTGCTGATGGACTCGACCAAGCCATCGCCGGTTCGCGTCTACTTGTCGTCGGTCCTAACGATGACGAGGAGGACCTCATGGACGAAGTCATGGGCGATCTAGCACACTTGCTCAGTAAGGTTTCCAAGACTGGTCGTGGTGTCTCTGTCCAAGCATCCACTCTGGGTTCGCTCGAAGCGCTCCTCGAGTTCTTGCGTGTCTCAAAGATTCCTGTGGCTACTATTTCCATTGGTCCGGTTTTCAGGAAGGACGTTCTTCGAGCCGGTATCATGTTAGAAAAGGCCAGAGAATACGCCGTCATGCTGTGCTTCGATGTCAAGGTTGACAAGGAAGCCAAAGCGTATGCAGAGGAGATCGGTGTTAAGATTTTCGAAGCTGACATCATCTACCACTTGTTCGACAAGTTCACAGCGCACATGAAGCAGCTTGAGGAGCAGCGGAAGGAGGAGTCAAAGATGCTGGCAGTCTTCCCTTGCGTACTCAAGCCGGTCGCTGTTTTCAACAAGAAGGATCCTATCATCATTGGTGTGGATGTTACTGAAGGTGCTCTGAGAATGACAACGCCCATCTGCGCGGTCAAGAAGAACGCTGTCACTGGTGCTAAGGAAATCGTCAATCTAGGAAGAGTGTAAGTTTGCTTTTCTTCTACTACCACACCCTTTACTAATTCGTTCAATAGCACTTCTATCGAGCGTGACCACAAACCCATGCAAATATGCAAGAGGGGTCAACCCTCCGTCGCCGTCAAGATCGAGGGTAACAATCAGCCCATGTACGGTCGCCACTTGGAAGAAGACGATATTCTCTATTCTGCTATTAGCCGGAAGAGTATCGATACACTCAAGGAGTTCTTCAGGAGCGACGTTAGCCAGGACGAGTGGAAGTTGATTGTACAGTTGAAGCAGCTTCTCGATGTCCAGTAAAGATGTGGTAGGGGTGCATAGTTTAGGACAATAGTGTAAGGGTCGAGGTGTCATGGTAGTAGTGTATTATTTTCACGTCATTTATGTAGCTCGTCTGCTCTTTTGGCTTTTTCTTCTTCGAGGCGCAAACAATAGCATTGTTCGGCGTTGTAGTGCAACGTTTATCCACTATAATCTTGTGATTTGATCCTCTTTCTGTCATTTCGAGAAGGCAGCATGCCGGTCTGGAAAGAAATACCGCATGGCAACCGACGACTATCTAGGTTGGCAACGATAGGTGTCACATCTTTAGGCGACGTCATACGCGACACGGGTTATTGCAGTCCTGGATGCGACTCCCCGGCAAGCCTGATCAAATTAAACCCCTTCTCTGCTTCGTCAGACCACGCATCGTCATCGCCGACAGGCCAGTCAACCTGGACCTCGAATACCTCTAGGTCTCTTCTCTTCCCAATCTCAGTCAACGGAGCGAACACGAATGACTCCTTCGTGATTTGTACACTTGGTCGTCTGCTCTCTAATACCACAATGAAAGCTTGCTCACACAAGGTTATTCGCAGTTTCTTAAGCGACTCCATCCGAGCTATTATATCACAGACTGCCTGCCATTTGCGAATGTCTCCGGTGTCAACCAATCTGGTATCGATAGCACGCGATATGCGCGATATCAGCGACCTTGAGGGAGGAGCCAAGTGTCTAAACCTTTGTTGATACTCGCGGGGTAAGCCCCAAATGTAGCCTGTAAAATCTGCATATCGAGGGAGGTGGCTTGCGTTAAGGTATAGAGAGCGGATATTGTTAAAATGTCGCATCGGGATATGTTCCGCAGCAATGACGAGAGTGTCAAGGTCGTTGAACTGCCAGGTCCGGTGCGCGTAGAAAATGTCAAGCATCTCGTGGTATCTGTCAGTGTCAGTGCTCTTTCTTCTGTATACAAGTTTCGAGACTTACAGCGCACGACAGGTCAGCATCAAAGCCATTACCCCAAGCTGGGCCTCTTGGTATAGTATATCTACGTCCTCGTGTCGTTTGCCAATCGCAATACCTTCGGTGTTTAGAGCAGCTAAGCCTGAGGAAGCTCTTGTAAACTCGAGCATTTCCTCGCCTATACAAGGATGACCTTTGATATAATATCCGCGTGGCATCTTGGCATTCCAGAACACATTTGGATAGATATTCTGGGAAGAAACAAGACGGATATCAGAGTAGGTAGCATCGCGTGCAGTAAAAACGTAGTCGTATATCATAAGACGAATTTCGAATGGGAGGGTAAGGAGCTTGGAGCAGGGGACGGCTGCCTGCTGGTGCTTCTGCTGTATTCGCCTGCATGATGTTAGGCCAACCATAACCACTACGTATCCAATGTAACTACTCACCTACTATCTAATGATCGTATCTTTTCCTGGAAGGCCACTACGCTATGCCTAATTTTGAATGTGATGCTCGATGTAGAGCTGAAAGAGCTAAAGCACGACGGTCGTTGCGCGCTCTTGTGTACGCCTCTGTCGCTTTGGTTTGAGATGTTTTGTTTAGCCATTTGTCAATTGTCAACTTTGTTGCGTTAGGATGTCAGGATTGACCTTGAAGTTTGGGAGGAATGGCGGTTGTAAGTGAGGCTATGTGTGCCAAGATATGCTGTATTCACTAGGCTGGACGCACAATGCGGTTGGCCGTTATGTGCCTCACTCTTCCTGTATCTAATCGATCGCAGTACAGTATGCGACGATCGTTACTCACAATACTCTGTCAGGTGTTGGATGGCGTTTCCCTAGACTCTTGTGTAGTCTCGATACTTCTATGATGTGCTACAAAACATGTGAACCACGTTCGATTGGAATCTGAGAAAGCCACAACTAGTAATCGAACGACGTCTTCTCTTTCAACTTGCTCAAACCCTGATTCTCATCCTTTTCTTCGTCGGTGGAGAGAGGCGAGACCCACAGGTGGTAGTGGCGTAGCATGTTCGACGCACTCTCAGCTGAACTCAGGAGTCGTTGCGGAGATTTGCGTCGCTGTCGTAGATGAACAAAAAGATGACGATCGCCAACACCGTGTGTCAGATTTATTCATCTCGGTCAATAGAGCGTAGAAGTTGACATCTTGTGCAGCTTCGATCCCAATCCGGGGTGTCGCATCAAACTAGGGGCTAAGGGCGCACATTCGCTTGACGACAGTTGACGTGGTTGGATCTTGCAAACTGCTGAGAGGAGAGTGCGGGCGATCTCAAGTGATAGAGCCGAAGACACGCTGAAACTCCTCATGATTGCGACTGCTCCCACGAATGCCGAAGGCCGAAATTTGTGCCAGAATTGAGTGGTTGTTGCTGTCGCATAGTGATGACGGACTTCATTTTTAACGCGAAAAAGCGCGTAGTTATGCCTGACCGCGCCAGTTTCGCGCTGCCTGGGCTCGTTTGTAGAATGCGAACTGCCAAACCAAAAGAAAGTATATCGAGGCGACGTAGTAGCTCAGACGGTGCTGCGCATACTCATCCCCGCTTACCAGAGCTTCGTTGTAGAAGTGCTTATGCAGAAAGAAGGTGTTTGAGGGCCATTGGTTGGGTTGGCCATGCAATTAGCTGCGCAGCAAAAATGGGGCCTATGAACGATCGTGCCAGCCCTGATGTACGTTGTCAGAGGTTAATATAACTGGCTCCGTTTGTTTTTCTACCTGTGTTTCCATCGTTTTTGCATCTTACAATTCTATGCTAGTACACTGAGCACGTTGGTGGGGAGAAACCAGCCGGACTGGGGCATTGCGCAACTGTTCAACGTGTGAGCGCTTGCAGATCAAATTGCTGCCAGACGTTGCTGAATGCGACACTATCTCGAGCTATGTCTCTGATCGCGTTGGCGCGCGATAACAGCCAGGTCGCCGGCTATCCATAAGCAAGTGCGCTAGTAGTGAGGCTCTTCGTATGCTTCTCCAGTATCCCTGAAAGCACGAGACTCACACTAGAGTAGAGACACGTTCTCCATTCACAGGCACCAATGACTTCTGGCCGACTTGGTGGGTTCAATGGACGTGTATGCACTATTGAGGTTGAATGAAAAAAGAAAGCAGTGCTCATCGTCATCAGACCCGCTTCAGATGCAGCGCCGGCACGATCCCGAACTCTAGCTTCACCCGATCCCTAGATTAAGCCGCTTCTCAACTGCGAACAAGCTCAACGTGCCAATTTTTGGAACGATCGGAGCCAGGATCGTCCAGATGCACTACCAGGACCTACCAATCTAGTTTGCAGAATCGCATCTCATGCCAGATCAACGAACGATCAGCAAAGTACGCATCTTGTTGTCTGTGCAGAAAGTCTTCTTATCGGAGTTTTACCATGGTGGGCCATACTAAAGTCATGGCGCAAACGCATTCGTCTTTTTCATGTCTCGCGAAAGCTCTGTCGACTTGTTGCCAGCTCCATTTTCTCATCTCTGTGAAGTGAAAGACTCACGCCATGGCCACTCCAAATGCTTCACGACCTGTTTCCTGGTCGGATACGACAGCAGCATCAACAAGGCCACCAAGTCCCGTCAATGTCGAAAAGCTTCCTGGTAGAAGTCGTCAGCCATCCACTGAGGTGGGCTTGAAGTCAGATTCTGATCCTGAGAAAGGACCTCAGCCGAGTTCAAATCAAGATGCAACACCAATCGCTGCTGGGGCTTCATCGCAAGTTCGCCCTGCGACTCTCGACTGGGACGGCCCTGACGACCCTTTGAACCCTCATAACTGGAGTGCAGCCAGGAAGTGGTATCAGACATACACGATCTCCGGTATTGCGCTTGTGGGGACATTCGCATCGTCCGTCTTCACACCGGCCATCGAACAAGCAGCGGCAGAGCTGGGCTCGACGCAACTTATCGCGACATTTGCATACTCGATATATGCCCTCGGACTAGCTTTTGGTGGACCGTTCGCTGCTCCGCTTAGTGAAACTTTTGGAAGACGACCCCTCATCTTCATCAGCTTGCCCATCTTTGCGCTTTTCATCCTAGGCACAGGTCTCGTGCAAAGTATGGCGGGTCTGGTGGTGCTGAGATTCTGGGCTGGCTTCTTCGCTGCGCCTAGTCTGAGTATGGGGTCAGGTACGTTGAGCGATATCTGGCCGCCTGAGAAGCGCTCTGGTCCCATGTCGCTTTACGTCGCAACACCATTCTTTGGCCCAGCATTAGGACCAATCCTGGGTGCTGTCGTAACCCAAACACGTGGCTGGCGCTGGACGTCATGGTTGATACTCTTCTTCACCATCATTCTCGTCATTGCACCAGCGCCATTCTTCCGTGAGTCATACAAACCCGTCCTCCTACGTCGCCGCGCGAAGAAACGCAATCTTCCGCTCCCAAGATCACCAACCGAAGGCATGTCGTTGCCGAAGGTCGTCAGCACCTATGCCACCAAAACTCTTACTCGGCCCATGCACATGCTGCTCACGGAGCCGATTGTGGCAACATTCAACACGTACTCTGCTTTCAACTTTGGCTTGCTGTACGCCTTCTTCGCCGCTTTCCCTTATGTGTTCGAGACAGAGTATGGGTTCGATAGCATATCCACAGGTCTTACATTCCTCGGTCTGGGTGTCGGTGTCATTGTAGCTACCGTTTGCATTGTATCGTTCAGCAAACTTTTCTACCTGCCTCGCGTGCGGAAGGCGGTTGCAGAGAAGAGGCCAGCTCCGGCCTTTGCAACATCACGGCTGGCGCCTGAAAAGCGCTTGCCGCTTGCATTCGCTGGTGGGCCCATTCTCACTATCGGCTTGTTCCTCTTTGGCTGGTCTGCAGCCTACCGTGTACATTGGATTGTGCCAACCATTGCCGAAGCCTTCTTCGGCATGGGCAATATGCTCATCTTCATGGCATGCATGATGTATATTACTGATACGTACGGACCACTGTACAGTGCCAGTGCCATGGCCTCGAATGCCATATTGCGGTACGTACTTGGTGGAACCTTTCCCCTCTTTGCAGTCCAGATGTTTCGAAGACTGGGCCCCCAGTGGGCTTGTACATTGCTCGGCTGTTTGAGCATCCTGGGTGCGTCTATACCGTTTGTCTTGGCTAGGTATGGTGAGGCTCTAAGAAGCAGGAGCGGATATAAAAGAAGTGGGTAGTTTGGGCAAGTGTGGGACATATCAATCTTAATTTCTCCATGTGGTGTCGTGCGTCCTCTGACATGTGATATGCCCTTGTGCCGTCCGTCGATTTCGCCTAGAAAATCAACGCCGCCGTTCTTTGACACATTCGTGAGTTTTCTCACCTTGGTCTGAAGCTCGCCGTTGATGAGTACGTGCGGGCGTGGTCGTCCTTGACGTTAACCCTTGTCACTGGCCAAATAATCTTTCTGCCGAGTACAAAGATGAAAGAAAAAGCGTACTTGGCCACGAATGTTCCTATACTTCATCCTAATGCTCGCCGTTAATGGAGCATAGGCAGGCCAAATTGGTTGGTAAGATCGGCTGTGTTGTCCTCGACGTTAACACTTAACACCGACCATCTCTTTCTCGAGCGAAGGAGCAAAAACAAAAAGGAAACAAAAAAATGTTCATTTTGACACGAGTGGGGTCTGATATCAGATTAGTACATGTCGCGACGTAACATTGTGCGGTATAACGTACTCGAACCCACGCACATTTCTGTAGTAGAGATCTAAGCGGGGCTTAAATCTACCGCCTTAGACCACTCGGCCATCGTGTCGGATGGAGAAACTGGACAAAATTTGGCGTTAGATAATATATAACAGAAGTTGATACCGAAAATGGGCGCGGCCCTCCTGTGTATCACGTACTCGCTAAGTAGATCGTTGTGACAAGTGGTGATTCTTGTCTCGATGCGGGGTACAGCAGGGGCTGCGTCTCTGCTCCCAATTCGGGGCAACCTCCTCGACCAGAAGCAACAACATTATTCTTTAGCAAATATCAAAATCAGACCAAATGAGTGCATTAGTGAGAATTATGCCTGGAGGTTTCTTATCATATAGAGTCAGTCAAAAGCACTAAACTATGTACACCCAACTATTACCTTCCGAATCAAATTGCTGCACCCGCTCATCACCTTGCCATCGAGACCTTCTTCATCTAAGCAATCCATCGCTTTCCAAGGCTCTGAGCTGCCTGGGCATCATCGGGGTTGTTCTGCGCGAGTGCTGCAAGAATAGATGCAACGTCGTCTTGACGCTTCTGAATGTTCTGGCGCGCAGCCGCGGCATCATCGGGGCTGTTTTGCTCGAGTGCTGCGAGGATGGAAGCCACATCGTCCTGACGCTTAGAAACAGGAGTGGAGGTGGCAGCGGAGGATGGTGCAGCCTGCTTAGCGGCCGCGGCGTCGTCAGGGTTATTGGCCTCAAGTGCGGCCAAAATGGAAGCCAAGTCGTCCTGGCGCTTGGTGGCAGATGAAGACGAAGCCTGCTTAGCAGCGGCAGCATCGTCGGGGTTATTGGCCTCCAGGGCGGCGAGGATAGAGTCCAAATCATCCTGACGGCGGAGCTTGACCTTCATGGCCGCAGCAGCGGCATCGGCGTCTTCCGGGTTGTTCGCACGAAGAGCCTCGAGGATGGACGCAACGTCATCTTGAGGGTTGGCTGAGAGATGTTAGATGGACGTTCGATGTTACGTGCATACCGTAGAGGCATAGAAGCTTACCAGCAGCGAAGACTGCGCTGGAGAAAGCAGCAACGGCGATGAAGGCTGTGCAACGCATGTTTACTGGTTAACAGGATTGCAAGTGTATTGTAATAGGAGTTGTTAGAAGAGAAGTGACCGGCACAAAGATTACAAGATGATAGAACGGATGGAATAGTAATTGCTCAATTGACCTCAGGACGGCGTCCGAGGGCTAAATACCATGAGCTAGAGTGGTGACGCCAGCGAGACATGACAGCTAAGCTTTGCAGCGTCAAATGTTGAAGCTTGTCCCGAAACCTACTGTAGTTTCACGGTGTGGTACCACCCGAGTAAGAACATACACCATCTCGG